TCATTTGGATCACGTGCAGCCTGGAGCCGGATGCTCCCCAGGGCTTTACCGTATTAACAGGAGTTAGACACTGTTTTCGGACAACATGCAGTAATTTATAAATATTTTAAATCAGGTTGGGTCTGGATTATCCAGCAAGTGGGTGCGGATGCACTAATTCCTGACCTCTGCTGTAGAGTGAAAATGCAATTAGGCTGTTTTATGTGAAATAACTGCCAGTTAAAAATAATTTTCATGATTCAATTTTGAAATCTAGTGCAGGATTAGCAGCAGCTTTGCACACGTACTCTTCATTTCATTCACAATCGGGATACGAAGTGGAAAGATTTATTCCCTCTGCAGCAGCGCAGGCGGTCTGCTCTGCACAACGAGAAAGGACAGTGAGAGAGAGAGTCTATGTCGACAAAGTTCATTAACACAGAAAGAAAAAAGGCGCTAGATTTGGCGCTGGCTGCTTTTTTGAAATAAAGGCACTATAGGGGTGTGAAAAGACGTTCTAGCAACAAAAGAGCTGGGTTAGCAAATCTGGCCTTCTGTTTCCTGTAAACCTCTAATTTTCTGCAAAAAAAATATTTCTAATAAAAAATGTCAGAAGTGGAAAGTTTCAGTGAAAATTGATTTACTTTGAGAGTATGGTTCTGTTCAACTCAATGCTCAATAATATACCTTCTGTAAAGTTCCTTCTAATGCTAGGCTAGGCTATCCTTACATATTTCCAACCGGTCACCTCAATACCAGCAGTTCTCTAACCTTTAATAAGTATCATCTATTAAACAGCAGGTTTTCTCAGCTTCCCCATCTTGGTAAATGTTAAGCATGGTTTTATCAAAGGTTTGTTTTTTATGGATTTTCTGCATATGGCGGCAACCTTTGAGGCTTCATGAGCGTTCCAGGATGTCGGATGATTTTGGTTATGACCAATATGGCTCCATTCTGGTATTCATTCTGTCCTCTCAATGCGGTCTGAGAAAAGCATTCCTCATCCTTAGCACCTATTAAAGTTAACATATCCCCTTTACTGTTAGGATTGTTAGCCACACAACCAATTCCAAAACTCTTTACCTTTTGGTCCTTGGTTCTGAACTCAGTGAGACTGTCAGGACTCCTGTCTGTGTGTTTCTGTGTTTGTCTCCCTTCCTCCACCAGGA